TCTTTCATCCATTTTGAATTTATCTTTGTGTATGGTGTAAGAGAATGGTCTAGTTTTATTCTTCTGCCTGTGGTCGTCCAGTTTTCCCAGCACCATTTATTGAAGAGACTGTCTTTTTTCCATTGGACGTTCTTTCCTGCTTTGTCAAAGATTAGTTGACCATAGAGTTGATGGTCCATTTCTGGGGTCTCTATTCTGTTCCATTGATATATGTTTCTGTATTTGTACCAATACTATACTGTCTTGATGACTATGGCTTTGTTATATAGCTTGAAGTAAGGCATTGTGATGCTCCCAACTTTGATTTTCTTTTTCAACATTCCCATGGCAATCCGGGGTCTTTTCTTTCCTGATTAAAACTCTTCAAAGTGTAGGGATAGAGGGAACATACCTCAATATCATAAAAGCCATCTATGAAAAGCCCACAGAGAATATCATTCTCAATGGGGAAAAACTGAGAGCTTTTCCCTTAAGGTCAGGAACATGACAAAGATGCCCACTCTCACCATTATTGTTCAACATAGTAATAGAAATCCTACCCTCAGCAATCAGACAACAAAAAGAAATAAAAGGCATTCAAACTGGCAAAGAAGAAGTAAAACTCTCTCTCTTCACAGATGACATAATACTTGATGTGGAAAACCCAAAAGACCCCACCCCAAGTTATTAGAACTCATACAGCAATTCAGCAACTTGACAGGATACAAAATCAATGCATGGAAATCAGTTGCAGTTCTATACACTAATAATGTAACTGAAGGAAGAGTAATTAAGGAATCCATTCCATTTACAACAGATCCCCAAACCATAAGATACCTAGGAATAAACCTATGCAAAGAGGTAAAGAATCTATACTCTAGAAACTATAGAACACTTACAAAAGAAATTGAGGAAGATAGGAAGAGATGGAAAAACATTCCATGCTCATGGATTGGAAGAATAAACATTGTTAAAATGTTTATGCTGCCCAGAGCAAGTTACACTTTCAATGCAATCCCTATCAAAACCCATGAGTTTTTAAGATGCTTGAAGGTCATCAGCTGGGAGGAAAAGGAACTGCTCTGAATAACACCATGTCCTCACTGATATATAATGACACACAATAAAAACTAACTTCAGCACAAGCCTTTAAACTGAGGTAGGGTAACTGGTTTTGTCTTCAAATGATTGGAACTCAGAAATCAGTGAACCATGGCTAATTGTAAGGACACCTGTCATTGTAATAATCTGGTGTATGGACAAGGGCCAAATCTATTGGAATGTCACAGCAAATACTTCTGTAATTCTTACTGATTTGTTTTGTATTGAAACTGAATTGTACCATGACTGTACTCTGCTGTGGGGTACCATTGGCATTATTGATAAAATTCAACCACCTTATGGAAATAAATGATACGTCAATGCTGATACTGATGACCAAATGTACTGGGAGATCACGTTAAAGCCTCCTCAAGTTGTAATACCAAAGGAAAATGGCTGGTGTGGGGAAGCACTAGAGTTGGCTAACCATCAGCTCATTTCTATGCTAAATAGCTCTGCTCAAGGTTATTACAAGGTACAAACAACATAGCTCCAAGGGGAGCAAGTAATCAAATTAGTACAAAAAGTGAAAATGTATGCCATGGCTTTCTAGGATATCACTGTTTCTTTGAGTCTATCCCTAGTCTCCACTGGCTCCTCCAAATACGGGGCATATTCATGCTCTTGCTGTATCTATCCTATTAAGTAAAACATTGCTGTACCTGCTACCTAAGTGCTCTTTAAATGTAGAGGCTTAGAAAAATATGGTCATTTTGCTGTAGGAGCACCTAGGCTGAGGTCCAGGTGTGTGGACTGTGCAATAAAAAAGGGTTAACTCAGTTAAATTTATATAAGTTAGGAATTAAAAGGAACTTTAAAATATTCTGATCCTAACAGTTAGAGTGAGCCACAGAACTGGAAATTGTGTCCCTCTGAGTTGGGACTCAGAATTACTTTGATAATTAGGGGTAGGAGTCCTGGAGGCACATGTGGCAGATGATGAAGAGCAGTGACAGGATAGCATGTGTCTGAGGAAAAACACGGGATCCAAGGGCTGCTCCTTAGTTAAGAGAAAAGACTGCAGGTGGCAGGATTCTCAAGATGGCCCCCTAGGTAGCTGCCCCACTCTTTTTTAATCAAGTGCTAGTCTGGGCTCTGCTGTGAAGACATCTTACAAAACAGTGAAGAGAGTAGGTATGTTTTACATTTTAAAAATATGAAAGAGAGAGAGAGAGAGAGAGAGAGAGAGTGACAGAATGGCACCAGAGCAGGGAAAGGGCAGAGGAAGAGGGAGTTGAAGAATCCTAAGACGACTCGACGCTGAGTGCGAAGTGTGACACGGGGCTGGATCTCACCACCCTGAGATTATGACCTGAGCTGAATTCAAGATTCAGACACTTAACCAACTGAGGCCCCCGGGTGCCCCCATTTTACATTTTGAACAATCTTATATGTTGTCTTAAGCAAGGAAAGCTGAATTTTATATTTTTGCTGTACTCTGTCTGATGCAATATCACATGTCATGTTACCTCTGGAAAACTCCATGGGGCACTCATGAGAGAGGGAGGGTGAAAAAGACCAAAAGTCTAAATATAATTATGAAAATAGTTTTGATCGTATGGCCCCTTTGAGAGATTCTCAGACATTCTCCCCAGCCTCTGGACCACACTTAAAGAACCAATAACTTAGTATATTCAAACTTATTCTCCACATTCATCAAATGGTAATGCTGATCAGATTAAACCATGTAGTCAGTATAGAGCATTTGGCACATTTTCTGAAACAAGATAAGGGCTCAATAATTGTTGCTTATGAATAGTAGAAACCTTCCTCATTTGTATTTACCAATCCTTGCTGCAGATAGAGATACATCTTGGCTTGGGGATCTATTCTCTCTCAGAGTTGCCATAACAGGTTCCACGGGAATCCACTTCTCAAGCATCTAAAAATCCCAGTCCCTCAGATGCTTTGATGGGGATTGTAAAGAAGCATGACTTCATAAAACTGTAATCAATTTGAGAGTTTTGGTATAGTAATTTGTGATATTTGTCTCATCTTATAACCCTTGAGATAGTTGGAAGTTGGTGTACACACAGTGTGATGCCAATATCCACCCTGTTTCCTCACCAGAATTTTCCTCCAAGGACCATCAGACACAACCAACCTCTCCCCCAGAGAGAAAATTCAGGGATTTCCCTCCCTGATCTTAGGAAGAACATAAATAGGTCTAATATTGTATGATCTTTCTGGGAATTTGAATTCTCAATAGAAACTCAAGAATGTTTTTAATTCATCTGACTCTAAAATAAAAGCTATGCTCCTGAGGTTCTTTGAAGAAACTTCAGAAGTCTAGTGAGTGACTCCTTCTGTATCTGGGATTCAATCCTCTGAAAGCTATGAAGGGAACAGGACCCTACATCCGTTTTAGAGGTATATTTCTCAACCCTCTAGAGTTTAAAGTTGCTCCTTGTGAGAAAACTCAGTGCTAACATGTCCTTATGCAGAAGAGATTATTAATTTATGCTGGGAGATGATTTTCAGTATAGGTAGTTGATAAAGGGCAGGCTATGTGGACAAAAATGATATTCCTGGGTGAACTTCCCTCCCGACTCACACTGTGCACTGTAGGTAGACACAATAGGCACCTGGATGTCTCCCTCCTGTACCTTAGGGACCATCTGCCCACTGGGTGGTGGGCAGGCATCCTTGAACTCCCCCAGGATCTCTCACCATTTCCTCCTAATGTAACTGAGTGGTGGTGGGCAGAGTTAGCACAGCTGTCTCAGGGCAGTGTGAGGTGGCTCAGACAATGAGAAGCCTTATGCAGCCATTTTCTCTGAACAAGGTTCCCAAATGGCCAAATTAATAAAAAGACTTTATATATCACCTAGCTTAAATGAAGATCTTTTTTTTTTTTTAAGTGTCTATTTATTGGTTTTAGAGACAGAGTAAGAGAGAGAGAGAGAGAGCAAGCCCAGGGAGGGGATTGATCCTGGTACACCCAGATCATGACCTGAATGTAAATCAAGAGATGGTCACCTAATCAACTGAGCCACCCAGGCGCCCAGAAGATCTTCATATGCAGAGCAATCTGTCTTATTGGAAAAGAATATTCTAGTAACAGTTACAGTAAGTCTTTGCTGAAACACTGGAAGATGTAAGTTTGCCATATAGTTATCCTTTGTGGAACCATCCCAGGTTCTCACTCTGTTGTGATGATTTTCAGACTTAAAAATCACTGAATTTTTATTGAATGGAGCACTGGGTGTTATACACAAACAATGAATCATGGAACACTACATCAAAAACCAATGATGTAATGTATGGTGATTAACATAACATAATAAAATAAGAAAAAATCACTGAATTTATATACATGTCCTTCCTATCACAAAGTAGGATAAAAGGAGTGCCAATGTTCCTGATGAGAGTTGGAGAAATAGGTATAGCTTCCTTGATCAAAAAACATTCTGGAGTCCAGGACAGCCCAGAGAGAGCTGCTCCTACTGACTGAGCAAAGCTTTCCTAATTTGAGCTGTTATTGTTTCATTTACTCCACTGGGGAGATGAAATTTTAGGTATCACTGCCATGACATTTTCTTCTCTATGCCAGTACTGTATTTGCTTAATTTTTTCTTTTTTGGGGGGGGGGTGGGGAGGGAAAGAGAGAATTTCAAGCAGGCTCCACTACCAGCACATAGCCCAGTGCTGTTCCATGTCAGGACCCTGAGATCATGACCTGAGCCAAAAACAAGAGTCGGATGCTTAACTGATCGAGTCACCCAGGAGCCCCACTGCCTAACAGTATTGACGTAGTTTCAGTCTTATTTTTATGTTGTTCATTTTTTTAACAGCAAGATGGTAATAGGGTAATGAAAATGAGAATGAAAAGATATACTAATTCAGACACAAAAATAACTAGGCTAAAAAGTTATTAAACAAATGTTCCCACTGAAGAGCGATGGATTCAGTGCCTTCAACAGTATTTTTATCCTTTCTGTTCACAGAGTAAATGTGGTTCAGACGTTGTTTATTGTATCCCACTGTGCCCCTAGAATTCTGCAATACTGATGTTGCTGTCTTCCACTTTACATAACGTAGGCATAGTCTTTAATTGTAGAAAAAAATCCATGTCCGAACCTTAAGACACATTTACGTAGAAGCTTCCCAAATGCAATCATACTCATGGAAGTGAAAGAATCTGTGATTTTGTCTCTCTTTAATTTTCCAGTGATCATATTCTGTGAAGTTCTCTAAGGAAGGAGAAACCATGTCTTTGTCAAATGAAACTGGCAAATAGAAGACACTTAGCACATCCATTTTTGAACTAAAATGACAACGATCCATCTAACAAACATTTCCTGAGTGCCTGTTTCATCGAGAGCTTTACCTGCTATTTTGAGATATAAAGATGTTCAGGACATATTACATACCCACAAGACTTCCTATTTGGGAAAGAGAATCTCCGTTCAAATACACGACATTTGGTATAACCCCCTTTTTATCTTTGATTTTATCTTGAGGGTTATCCAGATCTTCATAGTGAGGATCTACCTCTTAACTGTTAATATGGACCAAGCCCATACATTTAATAGGTACCTGAAGAGCTTCTTCATATGCATCTGCTCTGATTCACAAGAGTAGAAAAGACCCTTTTTACAGGCTGCTTTATCATTAGCCTCCCAATGGGGCCTAGAGAAGATCAAGTAGGCTGCCTTCTTTCTCTTTGTAGTACCTAGTGGTACCTACAATAAAATGGTTCAAATGAGGAGGACTATGACCCCATGGCAACACCCCATCAGGATTATACAATGAGGGTGGTGATGCACACGGTTTATAACCACACTAATATTTTTGAATGACCCAGATGCATTTTCTGGCCCAATATATACTAGATTGAGAATTTACAATTCTCTAACCCTAGTATGCTCTATAGGGATATACAATAATTCCCAGTATTTAAAAAATTCCTGAATTCATCCTACACTCAGAAAAGGTAGCATAGATGTAGAGAAAAAGAGAAAAAGGTAAATATGAAAGAAATATTAAAATATGTTGAATCTGTGTAAAGGAACATGGGTTTTTTTGGTATAATTCTTGACACTTTTCTGTGAGTTTAAACGTAGTCCTCATCAAAAGTTCAAATCAAGAAGGTAACCAATTTTGGGAATAGCGGGATGTGGCAAGTGAGGCCAAAGATACAACCTTTCTCTGAGCTCATTTTGAGATAAGTAACTCTAATTTTTGTCGATTCTCCAGCTCTACCTTTTCTCACACTTCAGTCCTTGATAAACTGTCATTAAGAAATGGGAAGCAACCAGTCATGGGTCACAGAATTCATCTTGGTGGGACTCCAGCTCAGTGCAGAGATGGAAGGATTCCTCTTCTGGATCTTCTCCCTGTTCTGTATCTTCAGTCTGTTGGCAAATGGCCTGATCTTTGGACTCATCTGTCTGGACCTGAGACTGCACACCCCCATATACTTCTTCCTCTCACACCTGGCTGTCATTGACATGTCCTATGCGCCCAATAATGTCCCCTAGATGTTGGCAAACTTAGTGACTCAGAAGAGAACCATCTCCTTTGTCCCATGCATAATGCAGACATTTTTGTATTTGGGTTTTGCTGCTACAGAGTGCCTGATTTTGGTGGTGATGTCCTATGATAGGTTTGTGGCAATCTGTCGTCCTCTCCAGGACACTGTGATCATGAACTGGAGAGTGTGCTTGGTTCTGGCTGTCACTTAATTGTCATGTGGATTTATTCTGTCTCTGGTACATGCAATTCTCCTTCTAAGGTTGCCCTTCTGTGGACCCAGGGAAGTGAACCACCTCTTCTGTGAAATTCTGTCTGTCCTCAAACTGGCCCTGTGCTGATACGTGAATCAACCACGTGGTTATCCTTGCCTGCCTGTATGTTTGTCTTAGTCGGGCCACTCTGCTTAATGCTAGTCTCCTACATGTGCATCCTCTGGGCCATCCTAAAGATCCAGTCAAAGGAGGGCCAAAGAAAGGCCTTCTCCACCTGCTCCTCCCACCTTTGTGTGGTGGGGCTCTTTTTTGGCATAGCCATGGTGGTTTATATGGTCCCAGACTCCAATCAATGAGAAGAGCTGGAGAAAATACTGTCTCTATTTCACAGTCTCTTTAATCCAATGCTGAGTCCCCTCATCTACAGCCTGAGGAATGCTCAGGTGAAGGCTTCTTTGTATAGAGTACTGCAGAAAAGACCCATGTGAAGCACAGATAGAATGTTGTTTGAGTAGGGTTTCCTTTTAAATTTATGTGGTTTGCTGAAGCAAAAACACAGAAGAAGTTCCCGCTTAGAAGTTTGAATTAAAAATGGTTACTGTCCATCTTTTAGCTTTAAAAATAGGGCAAAGTTCCATGAAAAGTGGATCTTCTAAAATTGAGGGACCACATTAGGATTTGGGACATCTAAATTATCAGAATATTTAGTCTTTTTTAAAAAAGATTTATTTATTTATTTATTTATTTATTTATTTATTTATTTATTTATTTGAGAGAGGTGGGGGGAAAGCAGGGGACGGGGCAGAGGGAGACAATCTCAAGCAGACTCCCCACTGAGTGCAGAGCCTGACACTGGCCCAATCTCATGATCCATGAGATCATGACCTGAGCTAAAACCACAAGTTGGTCACCCAACCAACTGAGCCACCCAGGCACCCCTATTTCTTTTAAAAAATATTAAGTGTTCTTTATTTTTTGAAGCCAGGAATATTAGTGTAAGGAGAAAACAATTAAATGTAAAAAATTACCTCAGTGCATTTCTCTGGCTTATGTATTTAGACATATGTGACTTTTTAATCACCTTGTGGTAGCCAGAAACAATACAGTAGGATTAATACCATAAGACAGAACTTCCAAAGTAGATCTGAAATTTCAATACAGAAAATATTGCAGAATTATATGACTCTATCTCTCCAATTGTGAGGCCAATGAAGTAAGAGTTTAGAGAAATTCTAAATTCCTTGATGGAATAATTTAGAAGCAAGGGGGAAAAGTTATGGAAGGCTCTAGTGCAATGAGAAGCTATGTTAAAAAATCCTAAAATATATTAAATGTTTAGGATTTGGTGAAATGAAGGAAATTCATTAGTAAATGTTTAAATGGTTCTAGAGGTCAGAGTCTTGAGCACTGCTCAAACATTACATTTACTATTGGGTTATAATAATTTCATTTAAAAAATAATTTCTAATAAAATTGAATTACCTGTTAAAGTTCTTCAGATAGTTTCCACCAATATCTTTTGTAATGTTTGAATCTACTTACCTGAAGATGGTCTGGGGTAGCACCAAACACCATGAGACAATTATGATTAGCTAACATCATCTTTCTTTCATGGTAGTGGAAATTCCTCTGAATTTACCAGAATTGAACAACTGTCTTCACGATGCTAATGGTGATAAAATAAGTAAGAGCTGCTTTTTTTTATGATTCAATATTTGTAGATACTGCAAAATGATCACCACAATAAGTATAGTTAACACTGGTCACCATAGTTAAAATTTTTTTTTCATGTAATGAAAACTTTTAAGATCTACTCTCTTAAGAGCCACTTTTTTTTATTTTTAGAGTCACTCTCCACTTTTTATTCTTAAGAGCCACTTTCAATCATGCAATACAGTATTATTAACTATAGTCACTTTGCTGTGCATACATCTCCATGACTTATTTATTTTATAACTGGAACTTTGTACCTCTTGACCCTTTTCACCCATTTCACTCACTCCCCACACACTGGCCTCTGGTTATCATCAATTCATTCTTTGTATCTATGAGCTAGTTTTTCTTTTTTTCTCTTTCCTTCCTTCCTTCTTTCCTTCCTTCCTTCCTTCCTTCCTCTCTCCCTCCCTCTCTCTCTCTCTCTCCTTACCCCCTCCCTCCCTTTCTTCCTTCTCTCTCTCTCTCTCTCTCTCCCTCCCTTTTTGGTTCCACATATAAGTGAGATCCTATGGTATTTGTCTTTCTCTGTCTTATTTCTGTGTGACTTATTTCACTAGCCTAATGCCCTCAGGGTCCATCCAGGTTGTCACAGATGGCAAAGTTTCCATCCTTTTAATGTCTGATTAATATTTCATCGTATATATACCACATTTTTATTCTTCCACGGATGGTCACTTACTTTGTTTCCTTGTCTTAGCTATAGTGGTGCAGTGTCATGGGGTTACAGAGATCTTTTTGAGTTAGTGTTTTCATTTCCTTTGGGTGAATACCCAGGAATGAAATTGCTGAATCAAATAGTAGTTCTATTTTTAATTTTTTGAGGAACTTCCATAACTGTTTTCTGTAGTGGCTGCACCAACTTACATGCACGAGGGTCCTCTTCTCCCGACATCCTACCAACACTTGTAATCACTTGTGTTTTTGATGATAGCCATTCTAACAGGTGTGAGGTAATATCTCATTGTGATTTTGATGATGACATGTGATGTAAAGCACCTTTTCATGTACCTGTTGGCCATCCGGATGTCTTCTTTGGAAAAGTGTCCATTCAGATCTTCTGCCCATTTTTAAAATAGATCATTTGGTTTTTTGCCACTGAGTTATATGAGTTCTTTATATAGTTTGGATATTAACCCTTATTGGATAAATGATTTCCAAATATTTTCTCCCATTTAGTAGGTTGTCTTTTCATTTTGCTGATGGTTTCCTTTGCTGTGCAGAAGCTTTTTAGTTTTATCTTAAAATGTATCATGACGTTAATTATTCTCTATTTTTTGACAAGTCATGAAAACTTCATTAACCTCAAGAGTTATAAAATTCTAGCATATGTACAAAATTAAGTGTAATTAACTTTCATTTAAAAATACATAGTACACCATTAAAAAATATATATATGTTACTCAAAGCATATAATATATAGTATTCAACAATGTAAGCAAATATATATGCTGAGAAAAAAAACAAAAAGAAAAAGGTGAAGTCCAGATTGCTGCTCAAGACATCTAATATGCCTAAGTAAATAAACACATAAATAGAATTCACTTTACTTGGCAGAGGACTATTATCTACGTCCACTGCCTCTTTGTTGCCAGTTTTTTCCATCATAATTTTATGTCTAAATTGTTCACATGTGCTGTCAATACATGATCATAACTATAAAAATAAAGGCAATTCTATGCTTCTTCCCTTTTCTGAGCTAGATAATTGTATTTCCTTGGAATATAAATTGCCACCATTTTTAGAGTTAGAAATTCTTGAAACAACAATTAAGTCTTTGCTGAAACATGAAGTAGAAGTTAGTTCTTCAGAAGATTACAGCGTTTCAATTCAGTGTTTCCAATGAGAATTTAAAAATTGGCTTAACTGTTGCCCAAAGTCAATACCTCAGATTCTAAGATGTCAGGCTGTATATTTGGAATGAGTTTATATATATTCAGCAATATAAGCAAACTGTAAACTATAAAGTTATTCAAGTGAATCAAATATTTATTTTCTATATATCCTTGAAAATAGGAAAAGTGATATGGTTGTCATATTAAACACGATGCACTTTTACGTAAAAGTTTAAAAGAATGGAAAAACAGAAATAAAATTATTTAAAGCTCTTAAAATAAGGCAGTAAAAAACTGTTTCTAAACTATTACCTGGTTCAAAATCATTTTTAGGGTATCATTTTTAGAGTAGAATTTCATTTTTACCCTGTACTTAGCTATACACTTTGGAGGGGTCTGAGCTATGTTTTTGCTGTTCTGATGTCATCATGAGTCCTGTACTGTATGCTGCATTATACGAAAGCCTCTAGAACCTTCTATCAGAGGAAAAGACCAGCAGTAGCAGCCTTCTAGTGATCAGAGGGTCTTCCAAAAGTTACGAAGTTTCTGCTGAGTCACAGCAGGGACAAGCTGTGCCCTGCAAGCTCACTGGTATCTCTCCTTCTCACGAGAGAAAGCCGTGGAGGAGGGAAAACACACACACACCTGGACACAACACTGGAATTAGAGGAAAGCAATAAGATACCCCAGAGGTTAGCAGAGGTCAAGAATTCAGAGATACATGAGGTTAAAAGAGCAGACACCACCACTAGATTGGAGTCAAGGAGACGGGAACAAATCTCATTTCCCCTACTTACTGTGTGGCTGGCGCAAGTACTTAAAATACAGAGCCCTCGCCATTAAAATAGGAATAATACTTCTGCCCCAGAAGATCAAGGCCTGCCAGCAGGACACTGCATCAGCACAGGGCTGGACACAAAGACACCCTGAGAAAATGACGCTCATATGCACGGTATCCAGAGACCACTGGTCAGGCATGAAGACTGAAGACTGTTCCCAATTGTGGACACGGTATTATCAGAATCATGTGGTGTCCCACTGCTCGGAAGGAAGGCTTTTCCTCTTGAGCTTTGCTTCAAACAGCAGGATCCCACCGTGGGGCCCCTCAAACTTGAAAAAACAGTTTTGTCAGCGGCAGTCTTGTACTTAACTACTTATCACTAGCACACCTGATCATTATTCTTAGCCCTCAAAGTCCCCAACATGGATTCTTTCATTCTCCTACTCCCTGAGACAGTGACTTTTTTTAAAGCCTCAAGAAAATGTCAGGGGCTCTCAAAACATCAAGGCAGTAATATCTTCCATCCTGTGAGGTTACGTTTTTTTCGCCTTAGGAATAACGTAGAGAACCTGCTAAGGGGATGAGCAACATATGAACCCTCCTTTGTCAGAAGAGGAATAACAAGGGTGAAGCACAGTGCCTATGCTCAGATCTGATGGAAAAGGTTCAGCCAGGGACTGAGGGCTGTAATATAGATGGACAAGCATCAGAGGGGGCAGTCAGCACACACTGCAATACAAGGAAATGACCTAGCTTCAGTTACCTGAACTAGGTGTTTCATTCCCTCCCACTGGGGCTCTTTCAAGTTCAACTTCTTTAAGGTTATCTAAGGTCCTTTGACCCCTGACAAGGTCAACCTGATTGCTGGAGAATCAAGCAGAATGACAGCACATCAACTAGTGAGCAGCTTATAGAACAGGGTCTTAGAAGAAGCCTTCTTGAGTCCAAATCCAGACTCTGCCACTTACCAGCTGTTGACCCTGGGCTAGTTCTTTAACCTCTCTGTCTCCATTCTATCATCTGTAAAATGGAGATAATTGTACCTACCTCACAGAGTAATCACGTGGACTGAGTTTTTATAAATGCATAGGGCATGCATAATACAGAGCAGGAACTATCTTAAGTGTATGATTGATAAATGACAGAATAAATACATCTACCATGGCCTTGGTGTTACAGCTCCTATTGGAATCCGAGAATAGAAAATAGCTCATATTACCTTTCCCTTTTAATGCATAATGTTGATTAGTGAGTCAGAGATCTCGGAAGACTCTAAAAAGATAATTTTTTTCTTAGATTTATTCTTTCATTTGGGTTCAAAATCATTTTCCCTACTTAACAGATGAAGCAACTGAGATTTGGAAAGTTTAAATTATTTACTAAAAATGAAAAAGAGAAAAAGAAAATTAGTAAGAAGAGATCAGAAACTGAGAAAACAGTTCTCCCAAACCTGCTATGAGACAGAACATTTTTGCAAGATGCCATTCACAGACCCACCTGAAAAGTAATTAGAGCACCTGATAATTCTGAGTTTTCTAACACACGTTCATGATATTTCAAGAGCCTTTTTGGGCATGCAGTGTTACCCACTCAGCTGACTGTCAGTTTTGGGACTTGCCTCATCTTTAATCCATTTTGTGACTAGCCTAATAGTCTTTATTTTTTTAACCTTCCAATAAATATTTTATTTTTTTATTATGTTCAATTAGTCAACATATAGTACATCATTAGTTTTTGATGTAGTGTTCAGTGATTCATTAGTTGCCTGTAATCTTTAACCAGACATTTCCATATTGTATCCGGGCTCCTTTTTTCCTACAAAATGTTTTTACCAGCAGGAGGCAGCACTGAATTTGGTTTACGCAGCAACCTCTCTTAGCGCAGCTTGTTTGAAATAGAATCCTGAGATGAGCTCAAAGTCACTCTCCCTCCTCTCTCTCTCCCCTGCTCTTCCCTTCTTTCCCATCCCCCCTTTCGTCCAGTTCCTTTTTTTTTTTTTCTTTTTTTTTAAACAAAGTAACCAAAGGTCGAAAAGGAAAAGCCCAGAGAAAACCTGAGACAGCCTGTGGTTCTTCTCAAATCTTAGCGTGCTCCACAATCCCCTGGAAGGTTTGTTAAAACTCAAATGGCTGGGCTCCACCCCTGGAGTTTCTGATTCTGTAAATCTAGACTGAGGTCTGACAGTCTGCGTTGCTAAATTTCCTGGTGGAGCAGATGGTGCCAATCAAGGAATAACACATGAGATAAACTACATAAATGGAAAATTCCTTTTTGATCATGACCTTCAGACCAGCCACACCTTTTCTTTCCTTCTCCAAATCCCAAAGCTCTCCTCCCCCTGAGACAGGGGATGTACTCAGAGAGACTCATAATCCCAACCCACGAGGTTGGGAGACAATCCCATTGGAGGGGAGGCTGCTGAGTAGATACTGTTAAAAGGATGTTGGGGGAGGGATGCAGGGAAAGTTCCCTGTGAGGATCGGGTTTTCACCCTGAAAAGCCACTTCTGAATCTACACCAAGGGGTGCTTTTGTGAGGATGGATTGTATCCATTTAAGCTGGAGAAAAGGATTGGCTGAAGGTTGAGACTCTCAGGAAAAGGTGGAGGTGTTCTTCTATTTGAGCTGCAGCCCGTTTCTCCAGGGGAAGGAGTGAGGAGACCCAGAGAGCCCGGCTTGGCCCCAAATTCCCACTGGTGCTCCCCGACATCCAGACTCCCTCCCCCCACCGCCTTCCCCCCACGGCCCTCCCCCCACCTCCGCACAGGCCTTGTTCCACAAACAAGGGGAGAGGAAAACGAATGCAGTTTGACTGTAATGTGCGTTCCTTCTCCCCATGTTCTAATTCCTCTAGGTGAGAGATCAAAAACTATCCTCCCAAAGTTTCTCCTGGCTAGAGGTTATTTGGGAAACAAGCTTAATTTTACAAATACACGGCTCCTCTTTCTCAGCCCCAACCCTCATGACATCATTAACATCTTGGGAGTTGTTTTTATCAGTGTTCCCAGCCCCAGCTCCTGGTCATAAGCCTCACATGGGGCGCTTTTACAAAAACCGCAAAGTCAGGACTCCACCCCGGACCCACATCATCAGAATCAGGAGGCTGAAGTTCCCAGGTGATTCCAATGGACCCTCTAAGGGTAAAAACATCCCTGTTTTAATCAAATAGCCAGTTAGATCTCTGTGAGCGCTGAGCTCCTTTGCTCTGGGCAGTGAAGAAATGCCTACCCCAGGGCTGGTTTCGGAGCAGGGGGGCTGCATGAGGGTGCTGCGCGCAGATCATTATTCTTTGCTGGAAAGTGAGGGCGCTCCTG